AATGTGAATGCATGCAGAAATGTATTGATTCATAAGACGTGATCAGTCTTAGAACAACTTTCATTTAGGACAAAAACATCATCTTTACAAGAAAAATCCATTACAGAAAAGGCCTAGGTCTAATGCTCAGCTCCATTATCTCATTGACAAGCCAATCGACCCTCTTTCCCATATTTGATATCGGATTTGTATAGCTTTGGATGACTCTTGCTTGGATGTCCATCTCTCCCAACTGCCTCGCAACATCAATCAATTGATTCATGGTTTCACTGATTACGTGATTCATATTTATTCTCCAGTCTTCAAAGTGATCGCTTGATTTCTGCCATTTCTACCTGGTGCCTAGGACGGTGCACTTAAGGCCAACGATTTGTATTTGCCAGCTTCGTAAGGCACTATCTAAATCATGAATTCTTTTCTACAAATTAACGTTCTCATTGAGGCTAACCCTTAGATCTGTTGGCCAGCGTTGACTATTTTCTACAAATAAAGAACTTTCGAGCTGCAAAATGTAGGCACTATACTCTTCATTCTTTGCCTTAGCCTGAGGTAACTCTTCCTCATGCCTTGTTTTTATTTCTTGCACCTCTTGATTGAGTACCTATGTTCGTTCATTCTTTATACCGCATCTTTGTATCTAAAGGAACACTTGATCTTTTATGCCTTGGAGCACACTCCCTCGATGTTGTCTTTCTAATTTCAACTCCTCCTAAATTTCACGTAACTCTTGTAGATCGTTTTGTTTTAGACTGACCGGAGTAACCTTTGGTAGTACAGATATATAGTCTTCAGTCAGACTATCGCATTTCTTTCTCTGAGTTTCCTCGGACCATGACCGCATTTCCGCGTTCTTTATTTCCTTGTTATGAAAGCTCTTGTCCATTTTATGACCGCCTTCTACTTTGATGACCACGTCGCAAACCAACACCTTTCTTGATGAATGATAATGCAATGCAATAATAATAAATAAAACACAGAAACACGAACAGAAATAAAAAGTGTTAGTATATTTAATGAATAATCAAAGAATAAAAATAAACAATATAAAGATAGAAAATATATACATCCTAAACCTTATTCACATGGTATCTACCCAACATGATATCTACCTAATCATGCTCTAGTAGATCCTACCCAACATGATATCTACCCACATGCTTTATTACACAAAAATCCTAACCTCATGATATCTAATTCACATGCTTCGTACGGAAATATAAAACCTAACCACATGCTTTTCTAGTTCTCATTCTTCTTGCAAAAATAAATTCAAGGAAAAGGTTAGAATGAGTTTCCCCTTTGTGCATGCAGGCAGAGATTCAACATAAGACGGACAGAGTTTTGGTATCACTAACAGGGTCCTCGAATTGTCCTTTGCTGGTGCCCCCTTGAGCTTGACAGACCCTCGATCCTCACCTATTATAGGCTTAAAACGGATTGAGTTCAATTCGAGAGGATACATTTCCCCATGCCATGCGAGAAAACTCGATGTTTTACTTGTAAACATAAGGCATGTACCCCAGAGGTTACTTGCTAAAGCCCATGCGGAGAAAAGTAATTTTTCTCACGTAAGCGTAACGTTCACCCCTACCTAACGAGATAGAGCACAGTTATAGCGACAATGAGGGGAAATCCATAATCCTTTGCCTCGATCCAAGAAAATCAACAAACTAAAGTAAAGGTCAAAAAATCTGAAACAGAAATCACACGTTAGTACAACTATTTATTCTTTAACCAAATCACAAACTAAAATGCAAACAAGAAATTTAAAACAAACAAGGGATCAAAAACCAAATTAGAACGAACTTATAACTTTCGCTTGCAAAGACAATTAATTAATCGACTATCGGCCTGACTCTCTAAAAAAAATCCCCAGCAGAGTCGCCAAGCTGTCGAAACGATTTTTTCCAAAAAAAATGAGATTTTGAAAACCGCATCATTTTTAATTTTTCTCTTAATTGATTGATTTTAATTAAAAATAATATGATTTTAGGAAACCTCTTGTTTCAAAAAATTTGAGATTCCTTTTTTAAAATAAAATGTGCGGTTCAAAGAGTCGCCACCAATCCTTGATTAGGGTGTGATTGAGCACCCAAAAACATTTTTGCTATTTTAAATAAAAATTAATTTTAATTAAAACGACAAATTGAAGTCTGCGTTACCAAAAAATGAGTTCAGGAGTCGGTTACGTGCGAGGAAGGATTAGCACCCCCACAACGCCCTAAAATCGGTACCTAGTCGATTAATTAATGTATTTGCAATGAATTTCACAAGTTCGATTTTAACTTGATTTATGATCCCTTAAGACAACAAAAATGCAAATTTTATAACATTCAAAAGCAACAGAATAGATTTAATTAAAATTACCAAGCCATTAGAAAGATAAAGAATATTCGATTATTTAAAAATAACAAGACCAAATCTTTAGGTGAGTTCTAACGACCTTTTCTCGAAAAATTTAAATAGTCGAATATTTCGTTTTCTTTCGTTCCCAAATTTTACGGTGATGAATCGATTTTTGGTGACACTGATGGGATACGTTTTTAATTTAAAATCGTCAAAATGACTCTATAGTGAGTTAAGAGAAGTCATTCCGACAGTTTTAAATTAAAAATGTATTACCCTTAATTCAATTATATGATTATATTAAATCATGCAAATGAGGCTAACATGCTTAAAAAAATTACACCTAAACAAGTATGTACTAACAACATGCTCGAAATAATATATACATGCATACACTCGAAATAAATCTAAATTAGCCTTTCGAAAATGCATAAAATATTAAACAAAGGGCTAAATTATAAAGAAAGTAAACAATAGGCTCTTTTCATAAAAAATCATTTCTAGGTACTCTAAACACAATACAACCAAAGTACTACATAGGATCAAAATGAAAGTTTATCAAATTACACATCCAAAATAAAACAATCACAAAAATATAGTCCTAACATGATACTGGACTAAAATGAAATACATAAAACGTTAAGGTTCTAAGTCAAAATCCAGTGAAGTTCGGTTACAGGACCAACACGAAATGAACCAAAGATACAAGAGCCTACATAACTATTACCCATTTTTCCTAAAACGCAGATCCCCCAGCTATCAAAACGTCGCCGTTTCAAGCCTCTGTGAAACTACGTCGTTTTGGCGTGGTAATATATGGCATATTAGGGTAAATTTTTAGCCCTAACTTCATTCTCTCCTCAACCCTAACAAACCAAAGCCCGCCGTTCTCCCTCTCCCTCTCTTCACCTTCTTCGTTTCCTCTCCCTCAACCCTAAACGCAACCGTGTTCTCCGTCGCCTAGAGCTCCGATGAGGAGCCCCCACATGCGCGAACCCACCCCGTGAACAACCTCGAACCACAAACTTAGAATCTCTCACGATAGAAACCCGAAATCTAAGGGTAAAATAATCAAAAAAACCTTACTTTCCATGGCTTTAGGCTCCCTCAAACCCAGATTTACTATGGTAGGTTGTTTACCTTCGTGAAAGGAGGCGACCTTGCTCAGATGGTAAAGGTTTTGGAGCTACCGAGGGTAAGAATCCTTCCTTTTTCTATCTTGGATGCTCTCGGCTTTTTTGGTGATTCGATGCTTTTTACCTTTTGTTTTTGGTTGTGAATGGCTCCTGGTTGTTGATGGGTTCTTGTTCTCTTTTTTTTTTTTCCAGTATTTTGTTTCGATTCCCACTGATGACTCTCGTTTGCTCTGATTATCTCTCGATGATATTTTGTTTCTGTTTTTCTGGTTCGTAATCGCCTCCACCTTGTTTGTGTTTTCCTTTTTTCTTATAACTGCTCCCTGATCCCCGTTTATGATGGTTGCTTATTATTTTTCTGTTGTTCCCATCCCTTGCATTTTCGAGAAACAAAAACAAATTCCTCCTAGGTATGGGCTCGAGCAGGACGAATATGGGCGGCAGCAGTGGCCTAGGTGGGTGGCCGACAAGCATGGTCGTTCTCGATGAGTTCGCGCACTGTCTTGGAGTTCCGGATGGATCTGCGCACGCTGGCTCGGTATTCCGGGTGAACTGTGAACCGTTGGATAATGAAGCTGGATCCAACAGTTCTATTGTTGCGGCGCTGGGAGCTGATGACAGGAAACCCTAACGGGCTACAATATTGGGCTTCAACCTCCAAATCAGGCTGCTCTGTCTTGGGCTGAATATCATAGTCCTTTTGTAATTTGGATTGTAGTTCGGATCTGTAACATAAACGTTTATTTAGTGCATGTCATATATATATATATATATATATATTTAATTACTTAGTTACTTGATTACATATATATATATATATATATATATATATATATATATATATAACTAAACGATAATAAACCCAAATCAACTTCGAAAAAGACCCGGACAAATCGAGCATCTACTCGGGGAATGCGAGCTTTAAGGGGTTCCGCCAAGCGAAGAAGTCTATATGAAGATCCATTATTGATGAAGTGCGTATAAAGACGAGGATTTTTGTCTTCTGAGGTATAACAAAAATAATAAATTAAACAATTTTACAAAGTAAAGATCTATTATTCTCAAACAATAAAATTATATGGCGTGCTGATATATCAATCACTTTTATATTATGAATCATTTACTTATAAAATACAATAACAAAAATTCAGTATTGATTCTTTTAGCATTTATATTTTCAGTATATAAAACATCTTAATTTCTAACGTATTGCATTTTATGCAATCTTGACTTACAGCCACAGAATTTGTTAAATATTTTGCAATAAATAGGTTTATACATTAACTTTAATAATCTCAAAGTCCATTTTTAAATCTTAAATTATATGTATGGATATGAGTATGCTCCTCCAAATAAATGAAAATATTTAGAAAAATTAAGTATATTGATGTTGTATATATATCTGCATCCACTGTTCATCCTGAGTTTGGATAATATAGCATTTGCTTAAATAATAAATATCAAAATCATTGCAGGCTTTAGCGAAGCATCCTTATCTTGGAGTGAGAAACTTGCTTTCCAAGTAGTCTCCAACCGGTTTCGTCTTATTTTTCCAAAAAGTGAAACCTGCTTCCCAACCGGTTTCCTTTCCGTTGTAGTTATAAAAAAAAACCTATTTCGAGTGGCTCCTTCCTAGCAGTACTGTGTGTCCTCATGTTATCAGCAAGCAACTTCTTTTGCTACTTCTGTCCGATCATAATCTCCGAACAAGTTAGTTCAAAGTCAAAACAGGTATTTATTGCATTTCACGCTTTTATATATTTTCTTACACAGTTCATATATAGCTCAAAATAGGTAAATACTCTATGATAACTGTTTATAGATCGGCATGTTAAGTAGATTTGATAATCATATTTTAGCTTTCGTTCTGAAAAATTATGTGAGTCTATAAGAAGTCTTGTCTTTGCACACGAATTGCTTAGAAGATTTGTGTTCGGAGGATGGGAGTTTTTAGGGGTTTCGTCAAGAAAAAAAAAATCTGTGTGAAGATCAGCTGTTAATGAAATATTTTAACCTCACCTTAATAAATTATTGGTTCTGTATAGGGATGGCAAAAAAACTCGAACCCGACGGGAAAAATCGAAAACCGAATTAAATGGGTCGGGTTCGGGATGATAAACGAGGACGGGGAAAACCCATTTATTTTAAACGTGGACGGGTTTGGTAATCCCCGTCCCGATTACCCGATTACCCGCCCCGATACCCGACCCGATAAATATTAAAAATAATTATATATATATATATATATATATATATATATAATATTAATAAATTTAATTTAAATAAAAATATATATTTAATTTAAATATATATATATATACCCGGCCCAATACCGACCCAATACCCGGCCCAATACCCGTTTAAATAACCGTTTATGCTAAACGGGAATACCCGTTTACTCGCGGTTTTCCCCGATTACCCGACGGGGATCCCCGTTTAAATCCCCGCGATTTTTTAAACGGGAACGAGTATCGGTTTTTTAAACGGGGACGGGGACGGGTGGACCAATACCCGGCCCGAACCCGGCCCGTTGCCATCCCTAGTTCTGTCACTGCAGTCTCAAACAATAAAATTATATTGCGTAATGATATATCAACCAATTTTATATTATGAAATCAGTACTTACAAAGTACAATAACAAAAATTCAGTATTGATTTTTGTAGCATTTATATTTTCAGTATATAAAACATCTTAATTTCTAACGTATTGCATTTTATGCAATCTTGACTTACAACCATTGAATTTGTTAATTAGTTTCCAATAAATAATTTTATACATTAACTTTTTTTTTTTGAAATAAGAAAGACAACATAATGAAATTAAGTATATTGACCATGTTGGGCATATACCTGCAATCCAATGTTCACCCTGAGTTGGTATATATAGCCTTTGCTCAAATTTCATTTCATTTTCTTTTCTTTTCTTTTTTTGTCTGCAGATATCCAAATATCACCGCAGAGGCTTAAAATGACTACAGCAATAAAATATGTCGGGTACGTAGAAGTTTAGGTTTTGAATGTTGACAATGAGGGGTGTTTGGATGGGGGAATGTGGGATTCCCATGGGAATGGAATCCACATTCCTCCGTTTGGTTAGTCCGGGAATCCTATTCCCGGTAATGTAAGATTATTAATAGTGAATTTTTTTGGGTATATTACCGGGAATGTCATTACCTCCCTTTCCTTAGGTATTGTTGGATTACCAGCGTTTTTGACTAAAACGCCCTTAAATTTTTTATTTTTTTTCAAAAATATATTTTTTCTGTCATTGAATAATAAAAATTCTACGAAGGTAAAATTACAAATTTATCCTTAAATTATTTTAGATTTACAAAAAAAAAATCTATAATTAAAATTTTATATGAAGTTCAAGGGTTAAAATAAAATTTTACCCTTTCATTAAACTTTTTTTTTTATTTTTAATTTTGTAAAAAATATATAAATATTATGAATTTAAATTTTTTTTAAAGAAAATATATAAATATTTTCCAACTTGTAATATTATACAAATATATAATAAGGACAATTTTGTCAAATATACATTCCAATAATCTTTTATTCCTTTAACCAAACACGGTAATCTTATATTCCTGCTAAGCCAACCAAACACAAAATACAATATTCCCAGTAATCCTATTCCCTGGTAATCTTACATTCCCACTGGTAATCTTACATTCCGTGAACCAAACGCACCCTGATAGGTTTTGGATTTTTTAGTAATACTCTTATATATGGTAGTTCTGTTTTGTGACAGAAAAATCTAAGATTAGTTAGTGATTGATTTTAACTTCAAATATTATTATGTTTATGTAACCCCTCAGACCGATGCGGGTAACTCGATCCGATTTGGAATGTCACATTAGGACAACCGGAGCGACCCACTGTAAAAATCTCAAAAAATTTAAAACTTTTATCAAAACATGTAACTCATAAAATGATTTATCAATATGCAGAAATAAAACAGATTTTCATACTCAAATATAAAATAAAAATACAATTACATGTCCCCTAATCACATGTACCATACTTTGCAAACAACGCCGAAAGAACTTTCTTACTGAAGTATTTGCTGCACTGGTACAATTCTTTTAACCTATAATGGTAAGTAATAGAATAAGCTTCAGAAAGCTCAGTAATACAGAACTACCAGATGATGCTGAAGAACGTACAGATACAGATAAACATATATTTCCTTATTGGTTTAGATATCTACAGATTTTTAGGCTGAGCTGAGGTCCCATTGATATCTTAGGTAGTAATAGATAGAATTCAGTTCAGATGGAAATATTTCGGATGTCTAGATTCAGGAAATCGGAATAGGTTATCTAGTGTGTTCCAGCAAAACCAATGAAAAGATATAGATCTTTTATTTTTAAACAGTAGTAGTTTAAAACATATTTTTATTCCAAAAACCATATTAATCCCTCCAACCAAACACTCCATAATGTGTAGGTTTCCCAGAACCATACACCCACCTACACACACCAAGTAAGGACTTACCCTTAACACAAAGCAGAGGAGTCTGCAGTAACGGTAACAGTAACTTCCTCCAACAATATCCTCACATAAAACATTTATCAAAAACCATAGTAATCCCTCCAACCGAACACTCCATAATGTGTAGGTTTCCCCGAACCATACACCCACTTGCACTCCTAGTAAATTTCATGATTCCATAAATTAGGAACAATTCATATTTTTCAGTGAAAACAGGAAACCCGATAACACATTTTAGGTAACCATAATTCATAAACCAGTAAATTCCATGATTTCATAAATCATGAACAATTCATATATTTCGATGAAAACCGAAATCGGAGATCAGATACCATGTTGTCATGGTTCATAAACCAGTAAATCAATACTTTCGTTAAAACTCATTTCAAACATATAAAACCGTCATGTAGTACATGTGGAACACACTAGAGGATCAAAATATTTATCAGATATTATTCAAAGATACTGGATAATCTTATTGGACAGAGAAACACGGATCTTCAGTATACCGGTAGATTAACAGAATTTAGAATCACTATCGGAAGAGTTCATTAACTAACGGAATCATCAGTTATTCAGAATGTGATTTGAGCTGATAAAAAAGAAATGAATGTTCAGGACATTTACAGTTTGCGTCGATCTATCGGATTATCGAAATAACTCAAGCTGAACAACTCTCAGAACTAATACATGTTGACCGGTCCATTCGTTGCCTTTCCAGGTATTCACTCTTTAATACCAACAATTTTTGTCCATAAATCATCTTCTGAGTCATCGTTAAATGGATCTTAAGGAGACGAACAAAATATTCTAATGATCTTTATTTCATTTCCATGTTTCAACTATATTAGGAAATGTCGACGTACTTGATTTGTTGTTCATAACCCATAGGGACGATTCATCATGTAAGTTCATCCGAGTTTCCAGACTTATCCCAATCACTTACTTAATCCTCAGTCATTGAGGTTACTTAGTTCATTTAGTAGTCAAGTCTATCCCGGTTACTCTAGAGTTTTCCAGAGTAATTAGGGCGTTTCTGAATTTCGGATACATATTATACTTCTGTTCAGTTCAATTTAGTATTTGTGGTTGATTTGTCTAACGAATATCCATTTCTTAGTACCGAATGCGCTCTAGAGTTGAGCTGAACTGAGTACTTCCAAAATTATCATCGAGCCAAACTTGAGAAGACAAACACGCATTCAAGTGATATATATATATATATATATATATATATATATATATATATATATATATATATATATATATATATATATATATATGCCATTCAGGTACTGACATATCATTAATGTTGATCGGCTCACTTAAGTTGTGTTCCATATCTTTTAAGGGTAGTACAACACCCATATTTACTTGGATTCCTTAATTAATCCAAAACATCTACTTAGTCTAGGCATAAGGGTATTTTGGCCATTTTGGTGCTCAATTTTATTCCATTCATTTAAGAGCTCGAGGATATCCAATCATTCCTAAGTTTGGTGATATTCTTGGTCATTTCCATTCCAGAGATATTTTAGTCATTTTACAGATCCAGAGTATTACAATAATTTTCTTCCGTCCGATCTTATTATTAAATTGAAACTTATCATTTATTTCAGTCCCTTCGAACAATTCTGACAAAAGAGCACCCTCGATAAATTATTCTTAAGGTATTTACTCATAACTCAGAGATTTTCGGATTAAGTGTCTTCTCAGATGTTACAAACATATTATCAGGAATTTTTTGTACAAAAAACAGGATCTTAATAATTAAATCTGTAATTTATTGGGTTAGGTACGAATTCTCAGGATACTTTCTCATTTAGAGTCAATTCGGGCTATTCTCACCTTTTAAGGGTAATTTTGTAATTTCTTAACCATGTAATTTCAGTATTAAAACTCCTAATAAGGATACTTATATTTTAGAGATACTAGGGTTAATTGTTTTTTCGGATAATATTTGAACTAGAAATGATTCCTTATCAAACATCTAGTATCTTAACAAGCCATCTTGGGGTTAGAAATCAATTATCCATATTTTCTAAGCAAAACTAGTATTTTCTATACACATCAGTATTTTTATCAAATCAATATGTCTTTACAAACTTCTTATCCAACTTCTAGGGTCAATTCTTGTCTTTTTACAACATAAGGGTATTTTCATAATTTTACCTAATCGAAGTATTTTCATAATTTATCACTTAAACCGTATTCGGTTCGAATCCATCCATAATCAAACAAGCATAATAGACAAATCATATACATCCATGCATTTATTCATTTTCAACATGTTCCACAAAGCATAAAGAGGTAGTAATATATTACTTCGATTTTCGTGCCATACTGATAGACCATTTAACTCCATTCGAACACCCTTGATCTTGAAATCAACTTCCAATAATTCATCGGATACATATCAACAGAAATTTCATTAAAAACGGAGCTTAATTGTGAAAAACAGATCGAATTGGGTGATTAATCAGTCAAAAACAGCTTATTGGGTTCGAACTTGACGAAACAGACTTCGGATTCAGATTCGGATTCAGGACGTCGAAAAACATAAAATATGAATTTTTGAAAATTGACTTTTTTGGTCAAAGTCAACGGGTTTGACTGATAATTTTGAGGCTTTCACATTCGAATTTGGGAAAACAGACTTTGGAATCGGACTCAGGACGCCGAAAACATAAAATATTACTTTTCTCGAAAAATTTGACTTTTTGGTCAAAATCAACAGGTCAGATCGGGTCGGGTCAACGGGTCAAATCGGGTTAAACGAGTCGGGTCAAAACTGGGTCAAACTGCCCCAAAATTTCCAATCGGGTCAAGCGGCGCGTGAAAAGTCCAATCGAGTCCGAAAAATTCTTAAAATTATTTTAAGCGATTTTTAGACACTTACCAAGCTTGGTTCACAATTTTGAACGGTGGAGAGCTCGATTTCAACACGTGGGAAACTTTGACTTCCTCACATCTCTCATGTGTCGGCGACGCGAAGGATACCGGTGGACTCAGAACGAAACAAGGAACAAGATGGTGTGGGAGGTGTCGAAAACGGGTGGCCAGATCGACGTGAATCGACAGAAAACCAACAGAGATTGAGTTAAAATGACGATACTTCCGATTGAGATTTACGACGAACGACGCCGATTCATGATGAGAAGTTTGAAGGGTTTTGTTATTCGGTTGAAAACGAACACGATGGTGGTTTCAGATCGTTGAACGATGACCGGACGGTGAATAGATCGAAACTCAAAGTAGTTGATCGTGAAGAGGAAAATGAGAAAATTCTACAGAAAACATACGGGGAGGGATTATAATTTATGCCTAAAGAAAAATGCGTAAATTCAGGATTGGATCCCTGAATTTCCTACACTTACTAAAATGATCTGCAGATTTTGGAATTTTACAATTTAATCCTCAATTTCTTCCAAAATACCATTTAAATACAATGCTTTATAATTACTAAAATGTAGCCCCTAAATTGGGGTGTTGCAATTTAACTTAAAGAGTAATAATAATTTAGATTATAACCGAATATATTACATTATGACGGATTTTAACTTAAAATGTTATTTTTTTACTTTAAAAAGTTACACAATTTAATAATAATTTCTGTTATAATTGAGAATATTAAATGAGTTTCTTGACAATAACTTTTTAGGTTGCAAACCAAAATAATTATACAATTTACATCATTTGTGATGGATAATGTAATATTTTTGATGTTCAACGTTAAATATTATCCAATTTACTCTAAAGAATTACAATTGATTACAACGGATTGCAACTTTTTTTAACCTTATATTAACTTATTGTATTTTAGATTTCCCGTCTATTTATGTTATGTAGACATTAAAAGTAGGAGTGAGTATTTGGTGGAATCGATTAATTTTTTTAAGTTATTTGAGTTGATGAATTGTATTTTATGGTTCAAATTTAATTTGATTTTTTTTAATTTAATTGAGTTTATAAAATTCGAGTAAGTCGAATTTTGATAACAGCTAATGAAAAGTTAACACCTTCACTTTAAAGAAAGTGAAAAGTTAGGGTAATATAGTTGTTGAGACAAAGCAATCTTATTCCATGTGTTGGTGTTATACAGGGAATTAGCTCAACAAGTACAAGCAGTTTTTGAAGTTGGAAACATTACATGCGGTTTAATTGGAAAACTCTGGAAATTTCCCATAGGCATTGATCAGAATGTAAATAATCTGAAGAGAAAAAGAGACCAACTAAACAATCAGAAAGACGACGTGGAATCAAGAATCATAGCGGAGTTGCGTCCGAGAAAGAAAGTCAAGAAAGAAGTGAACCGGTGGCTTGAGAACGTCCAGAGGATAGATGGGGAAGTACATAACCTTGAATCCAAAGTTGAATTTAGCAGCTTCTTCTCTCGTGGATTTCTTGTGAACAATGTTTGTTCCAAGGAAGAAGAAATTCAACAACTTATTCAGCAAGGCCGTCAATATCATGAAGATTTGGTGGTTGATAATCCTCCACGGATCGGACAAGAGTTGCTGGCACCAAATTTATTAGGTGAATCTACGAGGGCCCGTTTGGAAGAGATTTGGTGGTGTTTGATGGATGATGAGATTCCAAAGATTGGAGTTTGGGGGAAGGCTGGCGTGGGGAAAACAAGCACCATGAAGGTTATAAACAATCAACTTGTAAAAGAGATTGCGATGTTCGATACTGTGATTTGGATCACTGTATCCAAAGAGACGAGTATTGCTAAACTACAGAAAGACATTGCAAGTCAAATTAAAGTAACTTTTTGCGGCGATGAAAGTGAAACAATAAGGGCAGGAATGATCTCCGAAACATTGTCTCGAAAGAGGTTTGTGATGATCCTGGATGACATATGGGAGAAGATTTCTCTTGAGACGGTAGGAATCCCTGAGACGTCTTCTGGGAAATTAATGTTGACAACTCGATCATTTGATGTGTGTCGACAAATGGGTTTTAAAGAAATTAAAGTAAATCCTCTTGAGGAAGAAGAGGCATGGGACCTGTTCTTGGAGAAGGTGGGTCGAGATATTCTAAATATTCCAGGGGTGGAATCAATCGCAAAACAAATATCTGAGCGTTGTGCGGGTTTGCCTTTGACACTAATTCACATAGCTACTTCCATGAAGGGAATTGATAACCTTTCTGAATGGGGAAATGCACTGAAGGAATTAAGTGAAGGCAAAAACAGTGTTGGTGGACTCGAAGATGAAGTATTCCAACAATTGCGATTTAGTTATGATCGTATAACAGATCCAATTCTTCAAGCCTGTTTCTTCTACAGTACATTATGCCCCGAAAGCGCCAGGGAAGAAGATCTTATTCGACTTTGGATTGCAGAAGGGTTTGTGAAAAAAATGGACAGCAGACAGTCAGAGTTTGACAAGGGTCGTGCAATAATCGATAGACTCAGAGATAACTGTTTCTTACAAGTGTGTACTGAAAGGGACGATGGAAGATCGGTCAAGATGCATGCTCTTGTAAGAGACATGGCATTACGTATGATAAGTGAATTTCCTCAGTACTTGGTAAAAGCTGGCATGAGACTAACGGAGCCACCAGATGTGCAAGAATGGAACGAGGAGCTTGAGAAGACTTCATTGATGAAGAACTGGGAGTTACAGGTTCTTTACCCTTTGAATATGCCACCCCCAAAGTGTCCAAACCTCGCAACACTTTTGTTATCTGATTGTGATATAAGGAGTATTCCAGAAAACTTCTTCAAACACATGCAGAGTCTCAAGATTCTTGATCTTTCCAGAAATCGTTCCATCAAGAGTCTCCCAAGTTCTCTGTCAAATTTGAAGAATCTCATTGCATTACTGCTTTCCGACTGTGGAAGTTTAGAGAATGTTCCGTCGTTATCGAATCTTCAAGTTTTGGAGGAGCTAAATCTTGAAGGAACGAACATCATGGACCTCCCTCATGGAATGCAAAACTTGTTAAGTCTTCAGTACCTTAATCTGAGACAAACTCGTGTGTATGAGATCCCGAATGGAATGTTGTCAAGATTTTCTTGCCTTCAGAACTTGAACGTCGGTGACATATTGGTAAGCGGAGAAGAGGTTGGTGGATTGAAGAAACTTGAAATCTTTGAAGGGAGATTTTACGATTTGCACAACTTAAACACGTATGTCCAAGTCTTAAATGGTCGAGAACAGCCTCGTGAATATGCCATTCGGGTGGGCAGGAGAAAATGGTTTCCACAACGTAAAACAAGAAAGTGCATTGAATTAAGTGGCTTTAGCATCTACGCAGATCAGATTATGCTTCCAAGTGACATCGAGGAATTGTATGTCGATGAGTGCAATCTCCATTATCGTGAAGAATACACGCTTTCCTCCAGGTTTATCCAAGCCTCACTCGGCTCCTTTTCCTCTCTTAAGTTTCTGCAAATATCTAATTGCAGAAATATGAAGAAGTTGTTCTCTCCAAACTCCATGCCGCTGAATTTAGAACAGCTTACTGTTGATGGGTGCCATAAACTGGAGGAAATAATAGCATCAGAAGTTGGACCGATCGCCCAGGAATTCCGCCTTCGACAACTGAAGGTATTTTCGTTGTGTCATCTACCAGAACTGAAGAGAATTTGCAGTGCCGATGGAGCAATGGTTTGTGATTCTCTTGATGAAATTTGGGTAGTAAATTGTCCCAAATTAAGAAGGATGCCTCTTCATCTTCCCCAAGTCGATAATGTCGGGCCATCTCCAAATATCTCTCTTTCCCTTAGGATAAAGCCAATGGAGTGGTGGGAATCAGTGGAATGGGATCATCCCAATGCCAAGTCTCTTTTGGAGCCATTCTTGACTTTCTGGTAGGATCAAGCTGGTAACCTCTTTGTAGAAAGTCGGGAGAGCAGGTTGAGTAGTGACACTGCCATTGCTTTTATTTTATTTTATTTTTTTGTTTATGGGAAACTTTGATGAATGTAACCTGTGTTGCTTATATTATTTTAAGAGTTAATTTCATCGTAAGTCCCTAATCTGATATAATATATAATATTACAAATTTAATCTTTATTACTTATACATTTTATCAATTTATTCCTATTTTAAATTAATTCTTAGAAGAGTACGTGCTGTTCAATTGCATTAAATTGTTATTGTTTGCAGATATTGCAGCAAACCAACCAATTTGCATGAAACTAACATGATTTTAACCAGAAAGTCCTAAGAACAAACCGATTCGTCGACTAAGGTAGTTCGACTTCATCCATGCTACATTTATCATTAACAAAAAGATATAGCTCAATTAATTAAAGATTTGCTCTAACTATCAAGGATGATTAGGTTTAACCAAGCATTTGCTTGTCCATTGGATTTCCATCATTTATTTGTATTATTTAGGTTTAAACAAGTTTTTTTACAAGATTTGAGCAACCATAAAGATGAAGATACTCGAGAGATTTCATATTCTAAAAGCTTTCACGAAGGTAAACAAGATTTGAGCAACCATAAAGATGAAGATACTCGTTTTTTTACATATGGGGTTTCACTGAGTGAAAGGGCTTCAAGGGATCTTAGATTAGAAATTGCAGTTGGTGAGTTCTTCAGCCTTGCACAATCTTCCCTTGACAATAAAACGAGTTGCCAAAGGGACTCCACTGACTAAGGTACTTGTTCAATCGCTGTTCCTTCTAATTGTAGCTCTCTTACATTCGAGAAACCTCTGGAAAGCTAGAGATATTTGAGCAATCATCGAGAATAAGTGTGGTGACGTCGCTTTATACAAGCTAGGCAGAAATCATAGATTTTTGCACAATCTCGAATTCGAACGAGTTAGCTTCTCAAGATGCTGAAGAGATGAAGGAAGCTCAAGCAACTTTGTACAATTTGAGAAGTTTATAAATTCAAGATTTGTGGCGCTTGATAGGTCTGGGATTCTAACAAGGTTCGTAGAATCGACTAGAGAGATCACTTTCAAATTTACTAAATCCTGCATGTATCAGAACATAATTTGATGAACTGGTACATTGAAGAAAAGTAATGCAGCAGGTGGGAAACCATAGAGAACGAGGTATAAAAAGAAGAAAATACCTGTTTTCCTTCCCAGAGTAGTTCGACACGGCTACATCCCATGTCAAGTTCAACCGGGTTCTTTGGATCAAACCTGGTGGGTAAAGTTTTTAACGGGTATCCCTTCCAACAAAGGTATCTTAGCTCATCAGGAAGTGATAAAAGCCCTTGAGGAAAGAAGATTTTGGATATTGTTCCGTAGAATTTGAGGAACTGAAGTTTTCGTATCTTCACAAAGGCTTCTGCTTTTATTTCCAGCTCTGGAATTCTGGACATGTCGAGTTGCATGCCTTTGAGTGTTTTAGTCCCCTATAACCAAGAGCAACATGTCAGAATCAGGAGTCGATATATATGAAAGATAAGAACTATTAATCGACGGATAATACATGTATCTAATTCGAGTATGTGTTCGGATATGTTTCAAAGAAAATATATATGAAGAATGACAGTACGATAAGCTAAGAAAATGAACAAGGCCGCCCTTACAGAGTTTTCTATTAGTACATCATAGATGTCCTCAGGAATCCACATCCGACTGCGTCTTCCAGGCTCTGAAGGTGATTCACTGCGAAAGATGTCTCGACCCATTTGTTGCAATAAATCATGCATTGTTATCTTATTTTCTGAAACAGATATCAGAGATTTATCGATAAGATCATCGATTCCGGAATGTGAAGAGATATAACAAGCATCCATAATCCTTGTTAAAAAATCTCGGTCCTCCCCTTTATAGAAACAAGCTATGTCAAGAAACATGTCTTCTCCTCACAATCTATCTTTATAAGTTGACTTAAGAAAAATTTGTGCCGGAAGAAGATTGAAACTTTTATAGACGATGACAAGCTTCCAAGAGGAGATGAAATCTCGAAGGCACTGTTGAAGGCCCTTGAAGAATCGAGGGGGTTCTGTGATTGTTTTCTCCAGAAACTACGCTACTTCCAAATGGTGCTTGGACAAACTGGTCAAGATCACGCAACACAAGGAATTGAATCCGCAGTCCTACTTTGTCGTTCTTGTTGTCTACTGTATAGAACCCTCGCATGTACGGAAACAAACATGGAACTTCTCGGAATTGTAGATAAACAAGTTCTGATGAGCCAATTCAGCCAACTCGAGTTTTTGTTCAGACTCAGGAATCGATGCGTTCGGCCCAGGATGTCGTCCAGCTCATGACCAACAATTTTTTTTACATAAAAGAATTAGTTTGGAACATATAATAATCAAGTGGCTATTTTATAATTTTTAATAATCAGAGATTTAATAAAGTAGTATCTTATAATTAAAAGATCATTTTGTAACTTTCAATAATTGGTAATTCAACAAAGTAATACCCTATAATCAGAAAACTATTTATGTATTTTACCCTAAATTTAAGTAATATCGTAAATTATAAATTTAATTAAAAAAACAATATTTGATTTAATACAAATTATTAAACCAAACTATTAATAAAAATTAACTCAAATTAAATTAATGAGTAAATATAGGAGAGTTATTTTATTTTATTTCTAAAATAATTAATTTAATTATGAATCAATTATTTTACTCATATAAGTTTATCACTATTTGTTACCTGGTTAACTCCTAGTTTTGTATTAAGTATAGATAATTATAATTTTGATAAATATTTATTATGTATTTATTATATTAATATATAAAATATATATATATATATACATATAATATAAATTTACTCTCACTTACAAATCAAAATATATTAAATATTTAATTTTATTTTTCGTATATAGTTTATCAATAATAATATTAATTAAATTAAACTATATCAATTAATTTTTTTATTTATTATTTAAATTTTATAAGTCTAATAATAAAATCACTAAGTAATTTATTCTAGGAAAGTTTCATACTGTTGGGATTTTAGGAAGCTTGAATCGACAACTGGAGCGGTTTGCAAAGAGGGGTCGGAACGGTTTTGTGTTTAGTGAGTAAGGAGATTGAAAGATAGAGAATTGCACAACGATTTATAGTGGTTCGACTTTCTCAACCAAAGTCTACGTCCACTACCTTAGCTCCTCACCAAGGATTTTCCAACAAATTCACTAATTTGTTCTTTCTTTTGAGGATAAAGAGTAACCTTACAAACTGCCTAGTTTTTCCGGGCTAAACTAGAACCTTTTTCTAGCTTTTACACGGGATTAGCTAGAACCTTTCCCCTTTACAAAAGAATAAGAAATGTAAACAAGAAAACCTCTCTAAGGTAGGTGTTTACAAGATTGAGCTCACAAGAACAAAATATTTACAAGAGAAAGATGAAATAAGATTGAAAAACTCTTCTCTCGTATTTGATTGCTTGGATAGTTGTTCTCTTGCTTCTTCAAGTGTCCTTAGCTTGTATTTATAGCTTGGAATGTGTTTGAAGTCGTATATAGTCATTGGGGATATTTTGGAGCCGTTTGGAGATGAGAATCCATTAATAAAACAGCTTGAAGCGTGGGGGGAATCGATACCCCCTCATAGGGAATCGGTTCCCTAATTACAATATGATTTCGACCGTTAGACAGGGGGAATCGGTACCCCTTGGGGGGGAATCTGTACCCCCTGGACAATCTAATTTTTCTTGGCTTTGAAACGGTTCGAACTACTTTATAAAATTGTTTTAAAAATAGTTTAAGTATAAAACACAATTTTACAATTTAGTAAGGATTAAAATGAACTTTGAAAGACTTGGAGTAATATTTTGATATTCGAATAATTACATCGAATATACTTAGAAAATCTTTTGTAAAATCTTAAAATTCATTTAACTTAATCTGTTATATTGAAACATCAAAATGTTTTCAACAATCTCCCCCTTTTTTATACAACAAAACATTTGAGTAATTTTAAGATTTTGAAATCAAGTTTGAAATTACCCCCTTATTTTAACACTTATCCCCTTTAACACCTTAACACTTCTACCCCTTTTTGTTAAATAAAAAAGACTCTAATCTTTGAAGTTCAAAATAACTTTGGAGAGTAAGTAGTAAATTTGACATTTTAAAAATCATTTGAAAAAATAAAAACTCCCCCTCAATAAACGCATTCCAAATAAAATTATGCTTTTATGATCTTGACACTTAACAAAATTGAATTTCAACAAAGAATAACAAACATTTTAGTAGTACATGAAATTCAATACATCCAAGTCTAAAATACTTTATGCAATATCAATTATTGAAATTAAGTGCACATGCATAAAGTTTTCCAAAAATGTTATGCATTTGAAAATTTTGATTTCAATTGTTAGAGAGATATCATTTTCATTTAAACCACATGCATAAACATTTAAATTTAGGTCAAAAATTTTAAAATTTATAAAATCAAAACATTTGAAAAGTTGATATCAATTGTTAGAGAGATATCATTTGCATTAAAACCAATTTTGACCAAAATTCCTTATGATGAACTAAAAATTCTAAAAAAATCATTAAAACTTTAAAATGTTCATCATAAAACCTTTTTAACATACATGAGATTAAAACAATAATGTATAATTATTTAAAAACAAAACTCATGCATGCTTAAAATCAAATGAGCAACCAAATAACAAAAATTAAAAACATTAAGCTTAGAGGTTACCCATTCCTTTTCATGTGTGGCTAGAGCATCTTGAATATCATCATTTTCATCACAATTGCTTCCATACACCTACAAGAGACATTTAAGTAGATTTTGGTATCCAAATTGCTTTGGATCCTTGAACGTTAGTTTCAATGCCCCTTCTTCCTTTCGGAACACATACTTGCATAATTTTAAAACGTTTTCCTTTCTTCAAAGGACAAGTATGTTCCTTATGACCATGATAATGACAATGTGAGCATATTGTCATTATTGAACTAAATGAATTATTTAAAATGATTTCTTTTTATTTTGTTAAGCATTCAAGCTTAACTTTTAAATCAAAATTTTCTTTTTCAAAACTTTCAATTTTTATTTTTGAAAGCTCTAAATCCTTTTTCAAAATTTCATTTTGGCTTTCAAAATCTATTTTTGTTTTCAAAAGAAAATCATTTTCGATTTTAAATTTTGAAATCATTTTCTTATATTTGGAGTTCATGGTCTCAAACTCCGAATATAACCTATTAAAAGCATCTTGTAACTCATCAAACGTATATGAATTAAATTCATTTGAGTTAGAAGATACCTCGGGCTCTTCACGAGCCATTAGAGACACTACCTTTGTTGGTTATTCTTTCTTGTTTCCATGGATTTCCTCAAGCTTATTCCAAAGCTCCTTGGCACTTGAACATGAAGAAACTCCTTCATAGATTTCATGACCAAATGCACAAAACAGCATGTGCATGGCCTTGGCATTAAGTTGGGCTTTCTTCCGTTCTTTGTTACTCATCTTCTTCTTCTTCTTCTTTGGAGAAGAGTAGTCGTTCTCGATTATCTCCCATGCATCAAGATCATTGGATTGGATGAATACCTTCATTAATTTCTTTCAATGACGATAGCTGACTCCATTGAAGTATGGAGGCTTGTCCGTTGGTAGGGAGTCTTCCATGTGGAACGAGCCGGAGGTGGAAGCCATCTTCTCGGTTGTGTCAGGAATTGGTAGAGATTCTTCTAGGATCTTCTCAAGGTGGTTAAACCTTCTTAACGAGTTAGGCTATGATACCAATTTTTGGGATTTTAGGAAGCTTGAATCGACAACCGGAACGGTTTACAAAGAGGGGTCGGAATGATTTTGTGTTTAGTGAGTAAGGAGATTGAAAGATAGAGAATTGCAAACGATTTATAGTGGTTCGACTTTCTCAACCAAAGTCTACGTCCACTACCTTAGCTCCTCACCAAGGATTTTCCAACAAATTCACTAATTTGTTCTTTCTTTTGAGGATAAAGAGTAACCTTACAAACTCCCTAGTTTTTCCGGGCTAAACTAGAACATTTCCCTAGCTTTTACACGGGATTAGCTAGAACCTTTCTCCTTTACAAAAGGATAAGAAATGTAAACAAGAAAACCTCTCTAAGGTAGGTGTTTACAAGATTGAGCTCACAATAACAAAATATTTACAAGAGAAAGATGAAATAAGATTGAAAAACTCTTCTTTTGTGTTTGATTGCTTGGATAGTTGTTCTCTTGATTCTTCAAGTGTCCTTAGCTTGTATTTATAGCTTGGAATGTGTTTGAAGTCGTATATAGTCGTTGGGGATGTTTTGGAGCCGTTTGGAGATGAGAATCCATTAATAAAATAGCTTGGAGCATGGGGGAATCGGTACCCCCTCATAGGGAATCGGTTTCCTAATTACAATCTGATTTCGACCGTTAGACAGGGGGAATCGGTACCCCCTGGGGGGGAATCTGTACCCCTGGACATTCTGTTTTCTCGGAGCCAAAAACCTGCAGGGGGAATCTGTACCCCCTGGACAATCTAATTTTTCTTGGCTTTGAAACGGTTCGAAATACTTTGTAAAATTGTTTTAAAAATAGTTTAAGTATAAAACACAATTTTACACTTTAGTAAGGATTAAAATGAACTTTGAAAGACTTGGAGTAATATTTTGATATTCGAATAATTACATCGAATATACTTAGAAAATCTTTTGTAAAATCTTAAAATTCATTTAACTTAATTTGTTATATCGAAACATCAAAATGTTTTCAACACTTACAATAAAGGGTAAATTACATTGTTTCATTCATCACTATACTTTACTCTCTTTCTTATTTTACTCATCATACTTTCAATTTTTCAATTTATTCATTGGACTTTATAGATTGATTTTTTTGGTCACTCAAAGATGACATAGATTATTTTATTATTTTTTCATATGATGTGTCATATTTTTTTAATATTTTAAATCAAATATGATTAAAATAAAAAATAAATTTAAAAAGTCTAAATTATACTCTTAAATTTTAGATTCAAACCTTAAATTCTCAAATTTTATCCCAAATCCTAATCCTATTTCCCTTACACCTTATCCTTGACAGGTTCACTCTCCTACCGACGTATGGTGGCTCACTAACGACATCATCAGTGGCTCATCGATAACCTCATTTACGGCTTATCAATGACCTCACCGACTGCTTATTGACGGTGGCTTAAGTGTCCGCATTTAATATATTTTACCCAACATAACTAATTCATAGATTGTTTTCATTGTCTTTCTCCTCCTGTTTCCCATCATCTAGTAAACCTCCATTGTCTTTGAAAAAGAAGTGCAATTAAGGATTCCAACAATTGCCATAAAACCAATCAAGGGTTCTCCTCATCCAAGGTGAGTTATGTCATTGTGGGTGGGGATGAGGGTGAAGATTTTAATTTAGGGTTTAGGATTTGGGGGTATAATTTGAGGATTTAGGGTTTTATGTATAATTTAGTATTTTTAAATTTTGTTTTTATTATAATATTATATAATATTAAAAAAATAATAAAAATATGAGATGTCATATGAAAAAATAATAAAATAATTCATGTCATCGTTGAGTGACAAAAAAATTCAATATATAAAGTTTAGTGAGTAAATTGAAAAAACTGAAAGCGCAGTGAGTGAAATAGAAAAGAGAATAAAGTTAAGTGATGAATTATGTAGTTTTCCCTACATTAAATATGATGAATTATAAATAAATTGAAAATTTTAATGAATTTAATAAATGTAATTATATAAATTAATCTTTAATCATTTTATTATATTAAAAATAAAATTTCTTAACAAACTCTTAGCATTAAAAAAGTCCTGTCACTTTCCGAAGGAAAAAATAAAAAAGAATCAGGAAAGGGAAAAAATGGAAAGCCCAAATAAAGGAAAGAAAATGAGTTCTTCTGATAACAACAGTGACCCGAAGTTGCCATCTATCAAGATCCACCTCCCCTCCTCCCCGCACTACTCATCATCCGCCGCCTCCTCTCCCACCCCCGTCGCCGGCGCACGTCGTAAGATCGGGGTTGCCGTTGATCTCTCCGAGGAATCGGCTTTCGCTGTTCGTTGGACCGTCCAAAACTACCTCCGACCAGGCGATGCTGTCATCCTCCTCCACGTGTCACCAACGTCTGTGCTCTACGGAGCTGATTGGGGACCAGTTCCCCAAACCCAACAAAGCCCGCAAACGCCGGAGACCCAGAAGCAACTGGAGGACGATTTCGATGCCTTCACGGCTTCGAAGGCAGCGGATTTGGCCAAACCATTGAAGGAAGCTGGGATTCTCTTTAAGATTCATATAGTGAAAGATCATGATATGAGGGAAAGATTGTGTCTTGAGGTGGAGAGGTTGGGTTTGAGTGCTGTTATAATGGGGAGCAGAGGGTATGGAGCTGAGATAAGAGGGAATGATGGTAGATTGGGAAGTGTTACTGATTATTGTGTGCATCATTGTGTTTGTCCTGTTGTTGTTGTTAGGTATCCTGACGAGAAAGATGGCGGGAATGGTCAGCCCGCTGCAACAACCAAGGAGGTCAAGATGGAGGGAAAAGGTGGCAAAAGTTAATCCTTTCAGGGTTCATTTTCGGCTGTTTGAGGTTGATTCGAAATTTGGGATCTTTTTATTTGTTTCAATGCTTAATTTAGATGGCATGAGCAGTTTTATTTTTTATTGCTGATATGTTTTTATATTATTAACTGATAATTAGGATAGTAGCAATGTTTTGTCATATGATCCATATAGCCTATCCCATTTGATGTGTCTTTGTGGATTTGAATGACTGAAAATTTGGCTTTTTGCTGGTGTTTTTTTTATTGTGTTAGATGATGATTAGGGCAAAGCAGTATATTGATCTATATAGCTTGGCAGTTACTTAACATGGCAAGAAATACCATAGTTAGTTGTTGTTATGGATGTTCAATTATTTATGTTGGCGAAAGTTGATCTTTTCTTGGTATCATAATAGTATCTTTGTGTAGATGACTACTTACTGGGAATGTTTTAGTATGTTTTGGCTTTTAGTTATTCAAAATGCTGTTTTTGTCGAGTTAGAAGGAAAATAGGGTATGGTAGTAGAATATGATATATATGGCTCATTCCACAGAGTTGGTGGAGGTTTAATTTAGTGTTCTTGTAGATCATATATTGTTTCATCTACTTCATAGTATTAGATAGTAAGGTAGGATTTATTGAGTCTATGGGATTAGCTTTTGCCTTTGCTCCTCTTGAATTTTCTTTGTGATTGGGAGTTAATTGAAAAGTGCATGGGTAATGGACAAAAGAACTAGTTGTGGCGTGTGTTTTGATCATACATATTATACTAATCTCTAAATGCTTGATAGGAATAGTTTTACCTGCCTTAAGCCTTCTTATGGATGTTATGTTGTTAAGTTTGGGAGATAATTGATGTGTGGACAAGTTATGTACAATGGAGATGGTGATAAAATGAGGATGATTTGTCGTAACATGGTGTGTTTGATGTTAAAAGGTACACTTATAAACACATTGCAGCTTGATTGGTTGTACGTGTGGCGAGTGTTGCATAAATGTGATAATGACATGTGGATTAATGGTTTGCTACTATTTGTTTAACTGTTGAGTCCTTGCAAACATAGTCTAGATGCTGCATAGACTGGGATGTTTGGCCTGCTTATGGAGTATTCAGTATATAATGTTCACCAAGGGGAAGTTTGATGACTAAAGGAGTTGGAGTGTTTCTAACTTTTGGGAATTGGGATGATCGGTTGGAGCTTAAAAGGGCTATCGGGAGCTGTTTGTATAGGAATGCATGTAGTTTATAAATCATAGTTACTTTAACTGGGAGAATATCGGAAGATAAATCGCTTCAGTCTGCTCTATAATGTTCCGAAACTTTCAGAAAGAGAATGTGCCAAATAAATGTTTGTTAGAGCATGCTTCTATGTATGTGTTGCTTTAAAACATAACTAGTAAGATGTTTGATCTGCTAGAGTTGGTAGGCTGTGGAATATTTGGACTAATCTGGTTTCATAAGTTAATTGGGAGAGAAGAGAACTATTAGCTGCTTAAATCTATGCTTAGATTCGTGAAAGGCTCTTGCATTTTAGAGGAATTTGTTTTATACATCAAATTGATCATTCCCATTTCCTCTCCCTGTTTATTTAGGCTATTACTTGCTAAATAGGCATTGTGGAAAGCACAAGAAGACATGCAAAGAAAGATATCTATCTGCACCATTACCAAGCAGAATCATTTTGAATTAATAAACCTGAGATTGCCTGTTATGAAATTCATAACATATAGTAAATCTTCAGTTTTTTTATCATGGAATTTGTTTCATTTATGAAATTTGTTTGAGTAGCTGAAATCTTGAACTTACTAGCAAATCTTGCAAATTAACATTAGTGTTTGATGATTTTTTTTATGGCAGATGCTTAGCAAGTCTAGTAATTGCAGCATTATCCTATCGGTAGCAGGTTCATATCTTGGTGTTGTAAATGTCTTCATTAATTTATATTTTCCAGTCTTTCATAACCTGTTTATGATCCCCATCTTGCTTTTCTTATGTTGTAGATAGCAGAGAAGGCTATAAGTAGCTCACGATTAGCCCGTACGAAGGATTATGTTAAAATGGATCCTAGGATTCACTCTTTCTACTTTCGTCTCTGTTTTGTTGAACTTTTTTTATTGGTGATGTTATCATATGACCGTTGAGGTTCTAGATTTCCTTTTATGGCACTCGAGATCAAGATTTACTGCACCGTGATGATATTCTATAGGATAAACCCAGTCTCAACATTTGCTTTCAGTTTTATGAGCTGTTATGTTTTGCGTTGATGTCGTTGTGCAGGAACAAAAAAACATGAAAAAAATTCACGAGCTTCACCTTGAATTCAAGGGCATTTTTTTATGTATAAATCCGGAATAGTTTTATTTATTTACTTATTTTGATGCGTGTGTATATGCAAATGACATTGCCGTTCGAGTCTAAGTGGCCGTATGAACCAACTGGGCAAAGATGAAAAAAATATTATTTTTCTTTCCATTGCTAAGAGGGTAATTTTATAAAGAAATGAATTTTTTATGTAAGCAAGACTCGATTTAATTTAAAGAAATGAATTTTTTGACTCGACTTGAAGTTAATATATTCTACTTGATTTAACTCGTAATTTTATAAATTTGACTTGATTTTTTAAAATAAAGTTTGAGTTATAAAATAAAACTTGAATAATTCAAAATTTTTAATAGTTAGTGGATTGATTTTTCAAGTTCAAATCGAGTTTTTTTAACTTTGCATGATATATGTTTATCACATGAAAAAATATAAAGAAATATATATGTTTTTTTGTATATGATTATAGAAAGTCATTTACATTGGAATCAATTAATGTTATAATATTATACATATTTACAATTAAATTTAAACATAAATTCGAATCTCAATTTTATTTGAATTTAATATACTCGAAAAAATTTAAATAAAATTTGAGTTATGAAATAAGATTCAATTAACTCGAAAGTTTTTTACTCGACATAATTTGATCAAATACTCACCTCTGATAGCAGCTGCATGCAAATCACTAGCATGGATCTTATCTTCATTCATGCTGGTGGTCTTGTAGGAAAACATGTGCAAGTTGAAATGGAGAGAAATTGAAACTAAAATGCTTACTTCAAAATAAATTTAAAAGAAATTAAAGTCATATTCTCGCATTTCTTTTTCTCATCAGACTATTCCAAGTAAGAACTAAATCCATGCTGATTTACATTGACATCCCTATTTAATAACTGCATAAGTTGCTGTGGGACGAGATTACAGTCAACAGAAAAATGTGGTAGTGGTACTGATTATTCAGGGTAAAAAGATGTTAAAACTTCATTTTCCAAATGCCCGATGGAGAAGGAAACCCTAAAAGTCCCTGCTCATAAAAGACTTGGAAGTCGAGCATCATTTATCTATTATGCATTAACAATATGAGAATTACCATGAAACTCTAAGTAAGTTTATGCGTCAACCTTGAAGTCTATACAGGCGAGGGAACTTGTTTAGCAGAAAGATCGAGTTTTAACATGGAGAGGTGTTCTATTTTCACTTTGATATGCTTTTTATTAGTAGTTTTTTCATACATGGAATCGTCCGAGGAAGCTGATGTTTTAGCAGTAGAAGGGTCGGTTAATGATGATGAGACACTGGTTTCTGCATTAGAAACCTTTGAACTAGGCTTCTTCTCACCTGGGAAATCAAGGAACAGGTACCTGGGAATATGGTACAAGAACAGCAGTGAAGCAGTTGTTTGGGTTGCAAACAGGAACAACCCGATCGCTGACACGAAAGGGGTCTTAACGGTAAGCGACAATGGAAATCTTGTCCTCTTGGACCGGAAGAAGAGTGTAGTCTGGTCATCCAATGTGTCTGGGACAATAGAACATCCCATGACACAGCTGTTAGATACTGGAAACCTTGTTCTCAAGGACAACAAAAGCATATCTGAAAGGTATTTGTGGCGAAGTTTTGATCCCCCTTCAGACACACTCTTGGCATGTATGACAATAGGATGGAACTTAAAGACCGGAGAGGAAAGATATCTAACATCATGGAAAAGTGCCGATGATCCGTCCCCCGGGAACTTCACTTACCAACTTGACAGAACCGGGTTACCTGAGTTAGTCATTGATAGAGGATCGATGAAATCGTACCAAACAGGACCATGGAATGGAATTCAGTTCGGAGCTGTTCCAGCAGTCCTCAATTTAATCTTCAAACCAACTGTCATCTCTAATGAGAGTGAGTTATATTATACTTTTGAAGCAGTCAGCAATGCGCTTAATATACGGTTATGGTTGAATCAGTCTCGTTATTTACAGCGTCTTATATTAGAGCAGGGACGTAATCGATGGGGCGTTTTGTACTCTGTACCATTAGATCAATGTGGCAGCTATGGATTCTGTGGTGCAAACAGTGTATGCAGCAGTAGGAAACCCCATACATGTGAGTGTATCCAAGGGTTCATTCCGAAATCACAAGGGTATATGAACTGTGTAAGAGAATCATCACTGGACTGTCAAAAGGGAGAAGGCTTTCTACGGCTTGTCAGGGTTAAAGTTCCGGATTTGATAAAATTTCAGTTGAACGAGAATTTGAATCGTGAGAAATGTGAAGCTTGTTGACGAAAACGGGTAAAGAAAACAAAAGAACACGAGAATTTTACGAGGTTCGGCAATGTGCTTACGTCCTCGGTGCCTAGGCGGCGCTAGAAGTTTTTATTCAATGATATTTTAGGTCTAGGTTACATCTCTATTTATAATAGAAAACCCTGGTACATAATTACAAAATTAACCCTGTACCGTACCGCGGGGGCGCAGCCCCCGCACCCCCCAACCCACATAATTTGTAACCCCACAACGAGACTTTCTTTGTAAGGACAGTTGATGTTCGCTTCGCTCACTCCGCTCCATCTCCTGTCCTCTTTACTGGTATATTTATGAGCCATACTTAACAAATCTCCACCTTGGCGAATATCCTGCCTCTTGTAAATTCAATGTGGGTTAGGTTACCTTGATTCTTTAACAACTCGAAACATTCAACAAGTCCAAGCAATGCTTGAACTTGTCTGTCGTAACTGGCTTAGTGAACATATCAGCGGCATTCTCATCAGTATGTACCTTCTGAAACAAAACCTCTCCAGATGCAACCAACTCTCTGATCTTGTGGAACCTTACATCAATATGTTTAGTTCTAGCACGATACACCTGATTCTTAGCCAAGTGAATAGCACTTTGATTATCATAAAGCAACTGAACTCCACCTTGTTGAACACCCAACTCCTTCACTAAACCAGTAAGCCATAAAGCTTCTTTTGCAACTTCAGCCGCTGCCATGTACTCAGCTTCAGTTGTAGATAGAGCCACAATAGATTGAACAGTAGACTTCCAACAAATAGGCCCTCCACCAAGAGTAAAGACATACCCTGTCGTAGATCTTCTATTATCCAAGTCACCTGCATAGTCTGAATCCACATATCCTACAACCAAAGGATTATCCCGCTGACTCCCAAAAACAATTCCATGTCCCACAGTACCCTTTAAGTACCGAAAGATCCACTTGACTGCTTCCCAATGTTGCTTACCAGGTTTAGACATGTACTTACAAACTTGACTAACAGCATGAGCTAAATCAGGATGAGTACATACCATCGCATACATCAAGCAGCCAACAGCATTAGAATACGAAACCTTTGCCATATCTTCAGCTTCCTTATCTGTCTTGGGGCACTGTTCTGATGAGAGCTTAAAGTGATTCGCCAATGGAGTGCTAACTGGTTTCGCGCTGCTCATCGCAAACCTTTCTAGCATTTTCTCAACATAACCCCGTTGAGATAGCCGCAGTTTCCTTGAGTCTCTGTCCCTGCAAATTTCCATTCCAAGAATTTTCTTTGCAGCACCTAAATCTTTCATATCAAATTCCTGACTCAATAAAGTTTTCAAACCGATAACATCATCCATGTTCTTCGCAGCAATCAGCATATCATCAACATACAGTAATAGAAAAATAAAAGAACCATCATCAAGGCTCTTAACATAGACACAACAATCATACTCACATCGGTTGTAGCCAATCTTGATCATATAGGAGTCAAACCGTTTATACCACTGTCTCGGAGACTGTTTCAACCCGTACAAAGATTTCTTCAATCTGCAAACTAAATGCTCGTTTCCAGGTTGAGTGAAACCTTCAGGTTGCCGCATGTAGATCTGCTCCTCTAAATCACCATGCAAAAAAGCAGTTTTAACATCCATCTGCTCTAAATGCAAATCCCAACTAGCCACCAATGCAAGTACTGCTCGGATTGAAGTGTGCCTGACCACAGGAGAAAATATTTCATCATAATCAACTCCTTTCTGCTGTGAAAAACCCTTCGCTACCAAACGAGCCTTGAACTTCTCCCCCTCTTTTTCTGTTACTACTGGTTTCTTCTTATACACCCATTTGCAACCAATCGGCTTCTTACCCTCAGGAAGGGGAACTAACTCCCATGTGCGATTGTGATTCAAAGACTCCATCTCCTCAACCATGGCTGCCATCCACTTGTCGTTTTCCTGACTAGTAACGGCATCATGAAAAGTAACTGGATCATCACTGCTAACAATAAGTGCAAAAGATACCAAGTCTTCAAAACCCAATCTGTTCGGAGGCTTTATATTCGTCCGTCTCACCCTGTCTCTGGCGAGACTATAATCCTGCAAATCATCCGTAGTGGAACCACCAGAAGTCGGTTGAGAAGTTTCTGGTTTCTCAACTGGAAACTGCTCGAAATCCACCACTGTCGTGTCTTGCTTCTGCTGCAACATGGATTGTTCATCAAAAACGACATCTCTACTAATCACAACTTTCTTCGCAACTGGATCCCAGAACTTGAATCCTTTGACACCTTTCTTGTAACCCAGAAAAATGCACTCCTTCGATTTTGCATCAAGTTTGGATCTCTCATCAGCAGGTACATGCACATAAGCAGGACAACCAAAAATCCGTAAGTTATCAAAACTAACATCATGACCAGTCCATACCTCTTCTGCAACTTTCCCAGCCAGCGATTCCCTTGGCGATCTGTTGATAAGGTAACACGCCATGTTAACAGCCTCAGCCCAGAAGTGTTTGGGAAGCCCCGCATTCAACCGCAAACATCTGGCTCTTTCATTCAACGACCTGTTCATTCGTTCCGCAACACCATTCTGTTGTGGTGTCTTGCGCACTGTAAAATGCCTCTGAATCCCATGCTCCTTACAGAATTGTAGGAACTGTGAATCTGTGTACTCCGTACCATTGTCAGACCGCAAACACTTGATTTTTCGTCCTGTTTGGTTTTCTACCTCAGCTTTCCACAGCTTGAACTTCTCAAAAACTTCAGATTTCTGTTTCAAAAAATACACCCAAACTTTCCGTGAAAAATCATTAATAAAAGTAACGTAGTACCTAGATCCACCCAAAGACGATGTCGTGGAAGGCCCCCATACATCAGAATGCACATAATCAAGAATCCCATGAGTTGTGTGCTTCGCAGTCTTGAAACGGACTTTAGTCTGTTTACCAAGAACACAATACTTGCAAAAGTCGAGCTTACAGCTTTTGACACCATGCAACAAGTTTCTCTTGTGTAATTCTGCCATACCACGTTCACTAAGATGAGCAAGGCGCATATGCCACAATTTTGTCGTATCATCACAGGACTCAACAGAGTGAACTCCACCTGCAACGGTACTCCCTAACAATCTGTAGATATTCCCTGCAGTCATCTTGCCTTTCATCACAGTCAATGCTCCTTTAACAATCCGAATGGTTTCCCTATCCTCGTCAGCCTTAGGGATAAAACCATTATTGTGCAAAGTGCCCAAGGAAATCAAATTCTTCTTCAAGTCTGGGATATGTCGAACACCACTCAACGTCCGAACGGAGCCATCGTGCATCTTAATTCTGACATCACTAATACCAACAATATTGCAGCATCGATCATCACCCAAATAAACCGAACCAGAATTAACCGGCTTGTATGTCGAAAACCATTCCCTATTTGGCGTGATGTGATAAGAACATCCAGAATCAAGAATCCAAGCATCCGTCAATTGTGTCGTTGAAATAGAAAGCAGATCACCCTCACTGCAATCAGAATTATCATCCTCGACCACGTTCACAGACTTGGATGAGCCATCACGCTTCTCATCAGTCTGCTTTTTCAATTTCGGACAGTCTCGCTTCATATGTCCCGCCTCCTTGCACTTGTAACAGTGAATCGTCTTCTTATCCCTGGATTTGGATCTGGAATTCCGCTTCCCGGACCCTGCCTTCTCTGGCTTCCGTCCACGATCTCGATTACCCTTGACATATAAGCTATCGGCTTGAGAGCTTTCCCCTGCATTCTGCTTCCGCTGGTTGTGAGCCAACAAGGCTGCAGTAATCTCCTCAACATTGATAGTCTCTTTCCCATATGTAAGAGTAGTCACCATGTGTTCGTAAGAGGGAGGCAACGAACACAACAGAATCATCGCTCTGTCTTCATCCTCAATTTTCATATCAAGCCGAGCCAGATCAGAAACGATTTGATTGAAGACATTCACGTGTTGCGCCAAATCGTGATCGTCCTGCATCTTCAGCCCATACAGCCGCTGCTTCAGATACAGTTTTGTCGTTAAGGATTTGGACATAAACTGACTTTCCAACTTCCTCCAAATTTCGTCTGGAGACGATAGATGCATGACGTGATACATGACCTCGTCCGCCAAGCATAATCGTATGGTTCCTGCCGCTCGCTGCTGCAATTCTTCCCAATCTTCCTCATCCATCGACGCCGGCTTTGTAGATCGCAAAGCCTTCAAGATCCCTTGCTGCGCCAATAGATCCTTCACCCTCGTTTGCCATAATCCGAAGTTACCCTGTCCATCGAATTTCGCGACTTCGAATTTTGCTCCTGACATCTGATACCAATTGTTGACGAAAACGGGTAAAGAAAACAAAAAGAACACGAGAATTTTACGAGGTTCGGCAATGTGCTTACATCCTCGGTGCCTAGGCGGCGCTAGAAGTTTTTATTCAATGATATTTTAGGTCTAGGTTACATCTCTATTTATAATAGAAAACCCTGGTACATAATTACAAAATTAACCCTGTACCGTACCGCGGGGGCGCAGCCCCCGCACCCCCAACCCACATAATTCGTAACCCCACAACGAGACTTTCTTTGTAAGGACAGTTGATGTTCGCTTCGCTCACTCCGCTCCATCCCCTGTCCTCTTTACTGGTATATTTATGAGCCATACTTAACAAAGCTGAATGTAAGTGTCGACTGTGCAAGCTGTTTGATGTGGTCCGGTGACCTCATTGATATTTCCGAAGTTTCAGAAGTGTACCGAGGAGAAGATGTCTTTATAAGGTTGCCGGCTTCCAGTCTAGGTATGCATCATTTGTATTGCTCGTTTTCATACTCTTTTAACAAATGCCTAGTTTTTAAACCAGTTAACTCTGTATTTTCTAGGATTAACCCGAGATTCAAGTTCAAGGAACAGACTAACGGGTTATCGTACTGGTCTCAATCATTTCTGGTGCAATCATCTTGGGCCTAGTATTTTTCATAATCTGGAAGAAATCAAGGAAAAGAGGTAAGAACATTCATGGAACCTTATTGGCGTTCTTCAAACAGATTTGCAGTACTTGAAAGATCGAACTCATTGAATTATAGATGAATCACTTCATTTAACAAGATTGGAAGGTGGGAAAGATGAAAGAGAAGTGCCCTTATTCGACTTGTCGAGCACGAAACTGCCACCGATAATTTCTCTTTTCACAATTTAATTGAAGAGGACGACTTTGGTCCTGTTTACAAGGTAAGAAACTACGGAATATGTTATGTTAATTGCATACTAGAAGATAGGTGATCGCAATACGACGATGTGGTTGCTATTTTGTTGTTTTGGTTCTCATCACAATTCGACTGTTGTAACATTCATTTGTGTTTGCGTCTGTTATAAACATGATGAGCAAAACATATCCATGTCTGCAATTTAAAATCCTTTATTTCAGTTATCATACCACTGTGATTCGACACATGCAGGGCAATCTTCCAACGGGACAGGAAATAGCAGTGAAGAGGCTATCAAAAGGCTGAGCTCAGGGTGTTGAACAGTTCACGAATGAAGTCGTTTTGATAGCCAAACTTCAACATAGGAATCTTGTTGGACTGCTTGGTTGCTGCATTCAAGGAGAAGAAAGGATGTTAATCTACGAGTATATGCCCAACAAAAGCTTGGATTGCTTGATATTCGGTTTGAGACTCGACCCTTTCATCCATCTGTTTGCTTTGATTTTCTATACATCATCTGTACTATAAAATCGATATTCAGGACAAAATATTGAGATTCACAATGCATTATTTGTGCAGGTCATAAAAGAAGAGCACAACTATCATGGAAAAACAGGTTCGATATTGTTCTAGGGATCGCAAGAGGGCTGCTCTATCTCCACCAGGATTCTAAACTTCAAATTATTCATAGGGATCTCGAAGCAAATAACATTTTACTAGACAGCAACTATATCCCAAAAATTTCAGATTTTGGCCTGGCAAGAATCACAGGTGGCAACGATGAGGAAAAAAGAATAAATCGAATTGTTGGAATTTTTATTATCCATTTGTGTTTTTTTTATTTATTATAATAATAATTATTATTATTATAATTATAATTATTATTATTTTATAAATTATTACAGGCCCAAAAACGAAGCCCAATATCCGAGGCCCACTTACAACCAAACAACCCAGAGGCCCATTTACACCAGATCAACCTAAATGACAACCCTAAACTCATTTAGGGTTTGTATCTCAGCCCCAGCCACCAGCAATCATCAGCCGTTGGATCTGGCAAGATCCAACGGTCCAGAGATATCCAGCAAGAAGCCCTAGGGTTATGATACCCTAGGGACTACAGCCGCCTCCTCCAAGCTTTAGTCGCTTCTGATGCACTACACGACTGCCACGCCTCTGCCAGGTGGTCCAACGCCTACTGCCGATACGCCGCCTCACCGCTGAAGCCTCCAGAAGAGCCATTTGCCCCCTACGTCACAGCTACAAGGTGAGTTACCACATAGTTTGGTGACTCACCGAATAACCCTCTTAGGACCGGTCCGACGAAAGCCTCATCGAGGCTATATGACCACACTTGCAAAGAAAAGAAAAAAAGGAGAAAGAAAAGAAAAAAGGTGAGAGCAAGAATCCGAGAGAAAAATAACACCAACAACCAAGAGAACAGAAACGAGGAAATATAGAGCAACCAACAAGCACCCATATCAAGTAGTAAGCCAAAACAAAAAAAAAAATAAATAAAGAGATAAAAGCAGAGAAACTTACCTCGTCGAAGCCTCCCTACGCCGTTGAATCCAAAACGTCGGAGGTAACTAATTTAGATCTACGTGTTTTGGTAATGATCTAGGCTAAAGTACCTTCGAATTTGGCTTTAAGGAAATCCGGGCTTTAATTTGGGGGTAGATATGTAATTTTTCGGCCACCATTGACGGTGACCGGCGACGGTGGTCGGCGTCGGAGCAAGGCGGTCGACCGGTATTTGGTTTCCCTCCGGCGAGGGAAACTAAGAGAGAAGGGAGAGGAAATCTCTCCTAGAGAGAGGAAGAAAAAAAAAGAAATGAAAATTTGGCCTAAAATGGCCGGTTTAAGGGTATTTAAATCCCTCCCCAAACGACGCCGTTTTGGGTAGGGTGTATGTGTAATTTCCATTTAGAAAGAATCACGCGTGTAGCCATCCTAGTTTTGTAAATTTCCATTTCAGTCACTAAAATCAAGTACTAATTATTTCAATTCAGCTTTATAATTTTATTTAATTTATAATTTAGTCCTTTATATAATAATAAACATTTTAGGCAAATAACCGATCTAGCCCTCATAATTTTAATAATTAATATTTTAATCATGAACATCATGTTTTAATTTGTTTTAATTTGATATTCAAATTTTATATATATTTAATTTAATCCCTAAATTAAAAATAGGAAAAATTGCATGTTTAGTCACTGAAATATGAAATAATTATTTATAAATTAGATATCTAATTTTAAAATGTTATAATTTAGCCATTAATTTTAATACCTTTATTTTAAGTCTTATTACTTTTTATATTTAATGCTAATTTTAGTTATTGTTTATTTATGTTTTAAATTTTATATATTCATATATTTAATTATTATTATTATAATTTAGTCATGTAAATATATTTATAATAAATAATATTTATCTATTTATTTTATTAAAATACAATTTATAAATTTAATAAATTACTTTGAAATTACTTTAATCATATTTTAATATTTATTTTTCAATATTAAGAAAGGACAGTCTTAAAATAATTGGATGTCAATTTTCTGATATTTTAAATAATTAAATATATTACTTTTATAAATTATATCTATTTTAGATAAATTTTATTAATATTTATTTATTTCTTAATATTAAGAAAAGAATTGTCTTAAAGTACCTAGAAGCCTTTTTCTGATATTTCTAAATAAATAAATATCTTATATATATAAATTAATATATTTTCATAAAATTATAAATTTGAAATAACAAGATTATAAATTAAATATATCTTTGAATTTTTAAAATTATAATAATAGAGACAAATTATAATTAATAAGTACCAATTTTGGGCGTTATAGGGGTGCTAATCCTTCCCTAAACGTAATCGATCACGAATCCCTTATTTACTAATTTGTTTTTGGTTAAAACACATATCAGTTTATCTTTTAAATTATGTTTTTGTTAAAAACTATTTTAAAAGATTATTTTTAGGGTATTTGACCTACCTAACTCAAAAAGGTCAATGGCGACTCCCATAACATTTTTTAAATCAAAATCATTTTTATCCACATTATTTTTCCCGCCAAATAAAAAAAATTTCGTGCCTGGACGAAAACCAGTTACGACAGTTTGGCGACTCCGCTGGGGACCGGTTAAACTTTAAAATCAATTATAAATTGTCTCTATTAATTAGAAATTAAAAATTCATATATTTAATTTATAATTCTTTCTTTTCAAAATTTTATATATACTTATTATTTTCATAATATTTATATATTACTTTTTATTAATGTTTTTATTTTATTTTCAAGTATTAAATTTCATTATTTATTTGTTTGTCAGAGGTTTGAACATTTCTCCTCACACACATCACTTGCATTGCATAACATAAGCTTTATAATCAAGTTGTCCCTTTTAAGTGGGAGTGAAAGCGACATCTTTGTGAGAATTTATTCTCCGTGTCAGACCTAGCAAGTAGCTTTCGGGATTCATATGCTCTATGTCTTCGTGAGATTTTATTCTCCGTGTCAGGCATAAAGAAGTGTGTCCCCTCGAATTGAACTCGATCCACTTTAGTCTGTGATGGACTAGGATTGAGGGTTAGCAGCCCAAGGGGGCACTAACAAGGACAATTCGTGTACCTTTACCCTTTGAACTGAAACTCTGCATATAGTAAACCCTAGAAACTCTTCCGATCTAAAGCCATGCCGAAATTTTGTCCCAAAATAGGTGTACACAAAGGAGAAATGACTTCTAACTTTTTCCTTTTTATTTATTTATTTATTTATTTATTTTCTTTATGAATAAATTGCATATGAATTTAAATTATTTAAAGTATGTAGAAAGCATGTTTAAAATAGAAATATTTAAGTAAACATTATTATTAAATTAAAATTTTCCTTTATTATGTGAACTAATTCATTTCTTTTTATGTTTCCTTTTATTTTTGCTGTTTGCATAGCATAATACATGATTAAAGGTATTGATCTGCGAGTTAATCGTCTCATTGAAAAACCTTTATCTATGGATAAAAAGTGTTCAAATCAAATAGTTCCAAACTCAGAAGTAAGACAATGGGCTGAGAACTTACTGAGACAAGGGGGAGACAATCTGCAGGATGATTATATACCCGAGTTAGCAAGTTATGCTCCGGTTTCTCTAAAAAGAAATGATATGCAAGATTTGCGAGGCATTTGGGAGAGTTGGGATTCAAATAAAAAACTGCAGTTCTACTAGTCTTACGGGGACATCCCATATTTGCTCTATGTCGAAATTGATGATGACTTACTTCGATCCCTAATTCAATTCTGGAATCCCGGTAATAATTGCTTCACTTTTAACAAGGAGGATTTGGTTCCTACCATTGAAGAGTACACAACTTTGCTACATATAGAAGGGGCTTTGGAGAATTGTATTTATTCAAGGTCGGTTAAAACTCAACCTTTCCGAGTTAAATTAGCAAAGATTTGCAAGAGTACGAGAGGAATGGGTAGTATCCCGTACGAAACAAAAGGGCGAAGGCATTGCTTGGACCAACATCAAAGAATTTATTCAGAGTCATCCAGATGATAAAATATGATTTGATCTCTTTGCTCTTGGTATATACGGTATGGTCATCTTCACGAAAGCATTGAGATACATTGAGGCTGCAGTAGTAGATTTGTTCGAGCAGCTACCAAAAAGGGTCAATTCTGCTTCTGCAATTCTAGCAGAGACTTTTAGATCGTTAAGCGCTTGTAGAAGGCTAGGAGGTGGACGATTTTTAGGATGTGCACCATTGTTATATGTATGGATCCTAGCCATTTTTTGAGGACATAAAAGGTTTCATATCGATGCTTTAGTACGGACTACTCTCCGTTGAAAGAGTTTCTAGAGTAAGAATGGCCAAAAGAAATCACAAATGATATGTGGATCAATGCCCTTCGAAATCTACAAAGCGATGATATCGTTTGGCGTGCCCTGTGGCAAATTCAAAGGGAATTCTTTTACAAATGTGGTGATTACAACTGGGTGATGCTGCTCGGTTTATGGGGAGGAATTGGATATGCACCACTTCTGGTTATAAGGCAGTACGAGGGTCGTCAATTTGTTCCTGTTAATGTTGGATTACATTCGTATGAGTTCACATTTCATAGAAAAAATTACAAAAGAAACATCCGTTACAGCGTGGAAAACAACTTTCTGTATTCGAGCTAAAGAAGCGAATGTAATGTTAACTCTTGATTATGAGGAATGGAGGTCTGTCAGGAAAAATGAAAATATTCCTCTACCAGATCAAAATGAGGATATCTCTATGGAAGATCACATTCGTTAGTTCCATCAGAGATTGAAATCTTAAGGGCTGAGTTTGAAACAGAAAAAGAAGGTTGGTCGAAAGAGTTAGAACAAATGAGATGAGATAAAGCTATGTTGGGTGTCGATGTTGACTTTCATTCAGCACAATGTGTAATACTGGGGGAAAACAAACAAAAAGTTGATGGTGAGTTCAGAACGTTAAACAAGAATTACCATGAGCTACACAAATCCCGGAGAACATCAGGATCAATGACCAAAGAATTGAACATCGAGAAAGGACGAGTTGAAGATTTGAAAGGAAAAAATAGTCGTTTGCTCAAAAACCTTGAGAAAGAAAGCAGAAAATGGAGGATCTTGAGATTGACAAAAGGGAGTGAATTAAAAAGCACAAAGCCAAAAATTGCGAGATTATGAATAAAATGCAGAAAGAAAGAGATCGAGCTAAAGAATTAGAAAATATGAAGAACAACATGCTTGAGGAGTTTGAG